TGGCGGCGGATTCGCCTTATCCAATACCGACCTCAACGCACCCTTGCCGTCCACCCCCGCCCCAGGCACCAAACAGGACCCTCCATGCATTCCTGACGAAAGGCTCGCACCCGAGCAGAAAAACGGCAGGTTCAGGTGTGACAGGTGCGGGAGGGACCAGCTACGCTCCACCGACGGCACGTGGATCTCCGACGACACACGCCAGATGGTCGCTCAGAGTAGGCCCCAGGCCTACCTCAACGGCGCAAACATGGGATGGCACTGCGAGACCTGCTGGATACGACACCTGGAGGATCAGGGCATTCCAGCTCCGACAGGTGCGACAATTGCCGACAAGGTTAAGGAACACGAGCAACAGAGGATGGGTGCTGCTAGCAACGACAAGGCGGATGCTCTCCCCTCCCTGGGTCACCTCCCACTCGGCTATGGATGCAGCCCCCAAGCGGACACCATAACGCTATCGGACCTCATCATGACGCCGATGGGCATGAAGATCCCTGAGCGTGCCAACACCACCATTCCCATCCTACGGATCCGAGACGAACGGTTCGGCCTCAAAGCTGCCCAGAGCCAGAGCTACTCCGCTCGATGCGACACATGCCCCCCGGGCGCTCCGCTCCTCGTCTGGAAGGCTGGAGCCCCGCCCCTGGGCTGCTTCATATGGAAGCCAGCGGAAGGGATCGGGGTGCCTGAGCAGGCCGGGCTGCCCCCCATCGACAAACGAGCCATAGCCTGGTGGGAACGCAAGTGGAACGCCACCTGGTGCTGTCGACGCTGCCTGGTCCCGGTATGGAACATCGGTCCTGCTACCCTGGACCACATCCTGGATCGGGATTTTAGAGCGCCATACCCAGCCGAGGCCCCTGTCTTTCCGACGCTCATCAGCCAGATCGGAGCTGAGGTATCAGTGGACATATGGGAGTCTCTCCCATGGCTAGGCGCGGACGCCAAGGCCCAGGATCGCTTCGCCAAGGCTGGAGCGAGCAACCCTGGGTCTAGCGCCGCGGGTGGTGCGGCCGCCGCGGCAGAGCGAGCTCCCAGGTCCCTAGCACAGCTCATGGAGCTCCTGCCAGATCTGCCAGTACCGCAGGGCCCGCTCCTGGACAACAGGGACGTCAGCAACCCCACGCTGAGCCCAAACGACCCCAGGAGCGGACCAGGCAGTGAAGGACTGTCCGCACAGCGACAGCTCGTGACCTACCTCCGTGACTTCCACCCTGGGCTGGACTACACCTGGAGACAGTTCTGTTTCACCAACCGCGACAGCAGCATCCCAGAGCAGAGTTGTGATGAAACCTCCTGGCCGGACGGACGTCTGACTGATTTTCTCAGGACGGTGTACGGCCAATGCATCCCTGAGAACTGCGTCCCGCCCAACCAGCGCTGGGAGGGTAGGCGGGTGGCCGCGGCGCGAGTCGTCGCCCACCTCACCAACGGCGAGAAGCATAGGAAGGCCTGGGTGAGGTGCGCAGCCACCCTGGCCCCGGCAAGTGGCCTTAGTCTTATCAGACACGAAATGGGCACGCTGACGAGTTTCCTACTCAGCCTCAGTGCCGATGCCCTCGCCTCCACGTCCATCACTTCCTTGGCCGAGTCACCTCCACCAGTCGCGCAGACCACGAGTGAGGACAGGCCGGACACCCCTACGGCGGCCGACACCGACAAGTCCCTGGGCACGAGAGACAACGACTCCCGTCTGGGCCTCCCGGACCCGCCCGACCACACGGTCAAGGACGAGAGCGGTGAAGACGTGATCCCCCCGACGGAGAAGGTGGAGTCACCCGACTATGGAGAAGGCGAGCCCCCTCCTCCGGTATCCTGCTCGGACTCGGCCACGGAGGTCGACGACAACGGCCCAGGCGACAAGGCGCCTCAGCGGAGCCCATCTGCAGACAGTTCTGAACCCAGCTCCGAGCGTGACCCGACTCCTGCCGGGGATGGCCCGACTAACCCCGACCAAAGCACCAGTGCTGCCAGGGGATCTGAGGACGATGAGAGCGCCCGCGACAGGGGCGACGTGCGGACCGAGCGCCCCCCACTGCGTACCCCACAGGTCCCTGGATATAGGCCTACCTACCCTCGCCCAACAGGTTCGACGGAGCGCGATACGCTCAACCTGTTGACCGACTCACATGGAGGACCCATGTACAAGGTCTGGCTGGGCACGGTGGACTTGGAGCGTAGCGACGAGCCACCCGCCAGACGCCTCGCCAGGTACCAGTCGGAGTTGGGTGCAGTCTTCTGCGCGCTGTGGACCGCGCACACGCAGCGCATTTGGCTCCCTGGATCCAGGGAGCCCAAATCAGACCCGAGACTGCACACGGAAGCGACCATCAACAAGTTTCTTGATGACTGGAAAGGGCTGCGGGTACAACGCCTACCTGATGGACAAGAGGTACGGCTATCGCATTGACTGGGACAAACTGCGGGCCGACTACCTGCGACACACCCGACCCGACGGCAGGGGCAAAGGCATCCTCCAGCAGAGCAGCTGGCGAGACCGTGCTACAAGCCCCTGGGGCACCTGGGGTAACTGGCAGAGCGACTGGAGTGGAGGCTGGCGTGACGATCGCTGGCAGACGGGTGGCAAGCGGGGTGGGGGCAGACCCGACGAGCGAGACGAAAAGAGACACCGATGGAGAGACTGAGTTCACTCCCCACACATTCAGCTCCTGGACGTCCCGAACGATAACCCACTACACACTATGCGCAGCCTTCAGCTGCCTTACCTTCTCTCTCAACCGTGTGGCAGCCAGGCTGCCCACCCTCCCTGGTCCACGCACTTCCTGCCTTTGGACCCAAGTGTGCCGACCAGCAATACCATCTGCCTCGCTGCGTAGGGGAGCGTAGCTTGCAGACCCTAGCTGGCCCCTGGCCCCGCTGTAGTGGTTCTCACCTGTGGCCCGAATGGTCCTGTGCTCGGCTAAGCTGCCTTGGGACCGAACGGGGCTCACTCCTGAGCGTGCCTGCACCCTGGGATTCTCTATCAGACGACGGCCTTCAGCCGTGCTTTGGACTTCAGACCCGCTTGCGGCATTCCGCCGCCCCTCCTGGTACACGCACTTCCTGCCTTTGGACCCAAGTATGTGTGCCAGCAATACCGTCCACACTGCTACCTTGTGTTGCTTGTGGCCATAGTGGCCCTGGGCCCCACTGTAGCTGTTTTCACCCTGCCAGGCTGCCTGGCGCGCAGCTTCTGTGGCCGACGACATGGCGGTTTCCGCCCCGTACCCAGGACTGCGCGCACTCCCTGGGACTTCCAAGTTACTACGGCCTTCAGCCGTGCCCACCCCATTCTCCTGGGAGTAACGAGACACGTATGGACGGGCGGTCCATCGCCGCGGGCTGCTACGCTAAGGGCGGAAAGCTCACCGGGTTCGCCGCCCCTCCGACTGGGCCGACGGCCTCACCCGATCAGTTCCGCCCACCGATGCCACGCGTCACTACCCTGGCTGCTGCACGGTTTCGGAGTATGACGGACTGGCCCTTCCTCGTTGCTCTCCCGCGCGTTCAGGTGTGCGGAGCTCTTGGGACTCTGTGACTGTGAGGGGCTTGCTGTCTTGGGTATACGACGGTTGTTGTCCTTCCGAGCGCCCCCACATGGTTGAGTTAGTCGCCTGGCGCTACGTCACATAGTTGTTCGGTGCACGTCACTCCCGAGCGACCCCGCGTTCTCGCTGTGTGGCTACTGTGCACCCCTGCTGCGTCCTGACCAGTCCGCTGGTCCTCTGTACGCAGGCGCATCGCTCAGCAGTGGTTGAGTCTTCTTTGACTGCTCTGGCTTTGGCTTTCCCTTGCGTGGATGCATTCTCTGATGCTGCGACGGTTCGCTGGCGCTGTCAGAACCTTTCTCCTGCTGGACGACGTCACCAGTTACTGTCTGCCCATGCCCGTCAGACTCCCTGGATTGACTTTCTCGCACGGGGACCGTTCCCTACCACGCGGTCGTCTCTACTCGATCGCGGCCTGGGACGTACTGCGCGCCATTTTGGCTGCGCCTGGCTCGCTCGAGGGCTGACATTTCAGACTCCCTGGGTAGCAGCTTGCACGACCGTCTCAGGTGACTGGCCTTTCAGACTCCCTGGGATTGCACGACCGCTGGCCTCTCAGACGCCCTGGGTTGCCGCTGCTTGCCGCCTGATCCGCGGCCCCGCGCGCGCTCGGGAATTTAGTCGCGGCCGCAGCCCGACCGTGACTGTTCGCCGCTGGCGCTTCCGCCTGCGGCTGTAAAAAACAAAAAGTATCCCCATCAACTCATCCAGAAACGATTCCCCTGAGAGGTGACGGGGGAAAGGGGAATAATAACCAGGCATAATAATAGTGAAACAGCGCAGACAACAATAACAAACATTAGCTGAGAGATCTCTGGGGGGGGCAATTGTGTCGGTGCTGCTGCTGCTGCAGGTGCTGCTGACGTTGATGATGCTGCTGATGCTGGTGTTGGTGCTGCTGTTTCTGCGGGTGTTGGTGGTGCTGATGCTGTTGTTGCTGATGCTGCTGCGGGTGCTGGTGGTGCTGCTACTGTTGGTGGTGGTGGTGCTGCTGTTGGTGCTGCTGCTTGTGGTGTTCCTGCTGGTGGCGGTGCTGCCGCTTGGGCCATATTGGGATATGAGGAAGAAAAGGACGAATATGAAACACGGAGAAAGAGGTGGGGAGGGGGAGGAGGAACAGGAATGCGGCACGAAGAGGGGGGTGGGGTGAGGAGGCAGGAAGGGAGGAGGGAAGGAGCGGACGATGAGAAGGATAATGAGAAGTTTGGCTTCGGTGATGTGTTGTGGGGACGGTTTCTTCGAGGACTCGTTATGCCGTTCGGTGCTCTTTCGGGGTCCTCTCGATGTTTTTTTCTGGCGGGTCCAAGGGGCCCTCTTGGGGCTCTCTTGTGGGTCTCGGAAATTTATCGGGGTAATCTCGGGCCCCGTGTTTCTAAGTAGTCCCACTGCTTACCCGATTTTTTCTCCCCGTCCCCTCGCATCTACCCCCCATTCATACGCTTCCTGTTGGTTCAAGCAGTATTGGCCTGTATCCGGGAGGCACGTGCGAGCTGCGATTTGACCGAGTCGTGGAAGTCTTATGACAGCTGCTGTTCTTTGCCAAATTCCGCTGTGCGCAACAGCGGTGGCTGCCAGTGTCAGCGGCAAGTCCGGCTTCACCGCGAGTTGCAGCAATGAGCAGGTCTTTTCTGCGCGAGTGACAGGTATCAAGGATGTCGCAGCAACAAAATGGCTGAAGCTCCAAACAGTCATGTACAGTGACCAGAAAGGTGCCTCGAGGACTTACGACATGGTGTCCCGCACTACGCGCCCGCAGTCCGCTGGCATCGACGGCGTCGTGATGTTGCCATTGCTGCGCCGCGCCGCGGCACCGCAGGACGTCGAGACGCTGATTGTGCTGCAGTTCCGGCCGCCGGTCGGCAAGGTCACGGCCGAGTTACCCGCTGGCATGGTTGATGCGGGCGAGTCGGCAGAGCAGGCTGCGATTCGGGAGATGAAGGAGGAGACCGGCTACACGGGGACGGTCAGCCATGCTTCAGGCAAAATCTCAAATTGCCCTTTTCTAGTCAACGATATCGAGAGGGGCATTGTGGTCGACATCGACTTGGACGCGCCCGAGAATCGCACTCCCACTCAGAAGCTTGAGGACTCAGAGTTCATAGAGGTTCGGCGGGTGAGGCTCCTCGATCTGCTCGATGTTGTGACTGACCTTGAGGCAAGGGGTGTGGTCGTCGCGGAGGGGCTCTACCTACTTGCCATCGGCCTCAGTTTGCGCGGCCAACTCGGACCGTCGCCCCACGGCCACGGCTAGCTTCCAGACTCTGCGCAGAGAGTCACTGGGGTTGCGCCCAAAACTCTCTCTCAGGCAACGGATACTGCACCAGGATGCATCCTCGAACAGGAAGGAGGCAGGACGTTGGGCGAAAACGATGGTGGGGAAGAAGCGGCGGAACGATAAGGGATGAGGGATGGAGGAGTGATTGAGAGGAGACCCAGGGAGGGGCTGACTGCCCAAAAGACCCCCTGAAGTCCCTAGCGGCCCTTGGAGGCCTAAACACGTGTCGAACAGTTTTCGACACGTATTCGTGCTTCGCGGTTTTCGACACGTATTGTAGTGGCCTCCGGCCAGTGCCGCCGATCCGGGGCGCTCTGGATGATGATGATGATGATGATGATGATGATGATGATGATGATGATGATGATGATGATGATGATGATGATGATGATGATGATGATGATGATGATGATGATGATGATGATGATGATGATGATGATGATGATGATGATGATGATGATGATGATGATGATGATGATGATGATGTTGATGCTGATGCTGATGCTGATGCTGCTGATGATGATCAGGATGATGATGATGATGATGATGATGATGATGATGATGATGATGATGATGATGATGGTGAGGATGATGATGATGATGATGATGATGATGATGATGATGATGATGATGCTGCTGCTGCTGATGTTGTTGATGATGATGATGATGATGATGATGATGATGATGATGATGATGATGATGATGATGATGATGATGATGATGATGATGATGATGATGATGGTGATGATGGTGATGGTGATGGTGATGGTGATGGTGATGGTGATGGTCATGGTGATGATGGTGGCGGAGATGGTGATGATCCTGGCCCCCCACCCCACCCCCTCTTATCTCTCCTGTCCCCCCTCCCCCTTTCTTCTGACCCCATCCCTCTCTCCTTCCCCCCCTCCCCCTCCCCCACCCTCTCTCCTGTCCCCCTCCCCCCCCTCTCTCCTGTCCCCCCCCCTCTCCCTCTCCCTTCTCTTCTGTTCCCCCTTTCCCCTCTCTCCTTTCCCCTCCCATTCCCTGCCCTGCACAATTACTCAATATGAAAACTACTCTCCTCCTTCCCCTGATGACGGGTTGGGAGTGTTCGCCCCTCCCCCGCGTATTGTTTTCTTTACACCGGATTCCCCGGAGTTGGGTTTTCGCCTGCATTTTTTTTTTTTTTTTTTTTTTTTTTTTCAAAATGCTGCTATCGCTGAGGCGCTGGCCTCATTTTCGGTCCCCGCTCGTGCCGAATCGTGCTCCCGCGGCAGCGCTTGCTTCATTTCCGTGCTTCCGCTCGTTCCGAATCGTGCTCCCGCTGCAGCGCTGGCCTCATTTCCGCGGTTCCGCTCATTCCGAATCGTTTTCCCGCTGCAGCGCTGGCGTCATTTCCCGTGCCATGCCACGGCATGCAATGCAATGCTAGGTTGCGATCCGCTGCGCGATGCCATGCCTTCAGCTGAAGCTGTGATATGCAGTGCTTAAGTGCCACGTCGTGCTATGCCATGCTACGCTTTGATCTTCAACGCCATGCTATGCAATATTATGTTCGGGGCCGCTGTGCGATGCCATGCTTTGCGTTGCAAAGCTTTGTGATGCAATTCTTGACTACGCCACGCAACGCCATGCTGTGACACACTACGCTTTGCGGTGTTTCTCTACGCCATGCCACGCCGTGCTCTACAATGCATCGCGCACCCTTTCGGGATTACTGCCCTGCTCGACATCCGGTGGGACCCGGCACCCGGGACCTGGAATCAGCAACGCAACTGCCGGGAATTGGCGCGGGACCCGGGATCCGGGACCCAGGGCCCGGGACGAGCGCGGGACCCGGGACCCGAGATCCGGGACACAGGACCGGGCGCGGGACCAGCGACCCGGGACCGGCAGACCCGGGTCCCGGGACTCGGCCGGGACCAGCGCGGGACCCGGGACCCGGGACTTGGGAGCCTTATTGAGCCAAATGGGGTTCCTCATGCAGCTCTCCAGGGGCTCTCCTGGAGCCCTCCTGGGGCTCCTTCCGCCAGAAGGCTTGCGCTGTCAAAACGTAGGTTTTGACAGCGCGAGCCTCTGCCTTCTCGGGGCCCTCTTGGAGCCCTCTTGGTGCTAGCCTCTGTTCTCTCAGGGCCCTCTTAGGGCTCACTAGTGGCGATCTGACTCCCCCCTCGGGGCCTTTTTAGAGCCCTCTTAGGCTGGATGGGGTACCTCTTGGAGCTCTTCTGGGGGTCTCCTGGAGCCCTCCTGGGGCTCCTGCCGCCAGGGGGTTCGTGCTGTCAAAACGTCGGTTTTGACAGCGCGAGTCTCTGCTCTCTCGGGAGACTCTGGGAGCTCTCTCGGGGCGATCCGAAGCCCCCATTGGCGCCCTCTCGGAGCCCTCTTAGGCCTGATGGGGTACCTCTTGGAGCTCTCCTGGGGTTCTCCTGGGGTTCGCGCTGTCAAAACGTTGGTTTCGACAGCGCGAGCCTCTGCTCTCTCAGGAGACTCTGGGAGTCCTCTTGGGGCCATCTCAAGCCGCTCATGACGCCCTCTTGGAGCCCTCTTGGGTCTGATGGGGCCCCTCTTGGAGCACTCCTGGGGCGCGTTCGCTGGGGGCCCCTTTGAGGCTCAAAGTGGCCCCAGAAAGGAATAGGAGACAACCGACGAGGGAAAGGAGCAGCGGAAAGGGCACGAAGAGGAAGGGAAGGAGGAGGAAGAGTATGGGGGAGCAGAAGGAGAAGCAAGACGAGGAGGAGTACGAGGACTAAGAGCGCCCTGGATCGGCGGCACTGGCCGGAGGCCACTACACACGGCACCCCTGAGTTGTTTCAGATTGTATTGTCCCATGTTAGCGTCGAGAATGCGTCTCAAACGGTTTTCGCAGCGAGACGTGTCACCCTGGTTGTTTCCTATTGTACGGTTCCATGTTGGAGTCACGAATGCAAGTGTGGTAATCATCTTTTTTACATTGCTTTCGGGTTGCAGTGTATGGGTCCACGTCGGCGTCCTGAGCATGATTGACACAGTTTTGTTTTCTCATGCTGTTTTCGGGTTGGCAGTGCCACCTCTGTGTTGCTTCACGGTCCCATGTTGGTGTCCAGGATAGGAGTGAAGCAGCTGGTTGTTCTCACGCAGTTTCCGGGGGGCACGTGTCACCCGTGTGTTGCGTTACATTGAACAGTTTCATGTTGTGGCTCCAGGATGCGAGTAAAACAGTTGTTGTTTTCTTCACGGTTTTTGGGGTGATACGCGTCAGCCTTGTGTTGTGTCACGCTGAATGGTCACACGCTGGCATCCACGATACGAGTGAAATCACATTTTTGTTTGTCTTATGCGGTTTTCGCGGTGACACATGCCACCACACTGAATCGTCCCATGTGGATTCCCAGGAACGCGTGACAGAGTTTTTTTCTCACAAGGTTTTCGAGGTGTCACTTGTCACCCTTGTGATGTTTCGCACTGTATGGTCCCGTGTTGGCGTCCACGCTGTTCTTGGGTTGACACGTGTTACCCCTGTGTTGTCTTACATGGTATGTTCCCATGTTGGCGCCCAGAGCACGAGTGAAACAGTTGGATCGTGCCACGCGGGCTTCGGGAAGACACGTGTTTCTCTTGTGTTTCTCTCATCAAGCATGACCCTATGATTGCGCATGCTTGCAATGTAAGCCCCATGTATGCGCTCAGGAGGCAGATGAAACGGTTGGTTTGCCTCGCACGGTTTTCGGGGTGGCACTTGTTACCCCTGTACTCTATGATAATGCATTGCATCATGAGCGCCACTGGAGGGCGGGATGAGGACACCGGGTGTGTGGCGAGCGCATCTGTACTGCTGTCTCTCTCCCTCTCCTTCTCTCTCCCTCTCCTTCCTTACGAGGAAAATCCTGGAGGCCTCGCGCTGCACGTAATAATTGTATTATCTAGTCCACACGTCTTCTCCGCAAGCCATGGGTCGACGCTTGCGCGGCGATGCTCCGGCGTCAGTCCGACGTAAATCCGAAGTAATATCGACGTTTCCCGACGTAAGCCCGATGTAAATCCGACGGGGATCCGACGCAAATCGGGTCTCAAGTTGCCGCGCGAGGCCTCCAGGATTTCCTTTTATCCAGTCGCCGTGTGTTTGTGACGCGATGGGGTGCGGGTCGTCTTCATCCCAGCGGCCCTCCTGGACCTTCCATCGCGTTCCCCTTCCGGTCTCTTACCCCCCTCTCTTCGTATGCTCTCTCCTCTCGCGCCTTCCCGTTCCCCTGGCTGGCGGAGCACCTCGATCCGCGTGAGGGGTGTGCCGAAATGGCCCGAGGCCGCCATGCGAACCCTGCCACTGGGGCCTTCGGTGGAGCTCCCTATGGGGCCACGGTCCTCGTGAGGGGTGCGCCGAAATGGCCCGAGGCCGCCATGCGAACCCTGCCACTGAGGCCTTCGGTGGAGCTCCCTATGGGGCCTCGATCCTCGTGGCGGGTGTGCCAAAATGGCCCGAGGCCGCCATGCGAACCCTGCCACTGGGGCCCTCGGTGGAGCTCCCTATGTGGCCGCGACCCTCGTGAGGGGTGTGCCGAAATGGCCCGAGGCCGCCATGCGAACCCTGCCACTGGGGCCTTCGGTGGAGCTCCCTATGGGGCCACGATCCTCGTGAGGGGTGTGCCGAAATGGCCCGAGCGAACCCTGCCACTGGGGCCTTCGGTGGAGATCCCTATGCGGCCACGATCCTCGTGAGGGGTGTGCCGAAATGGCCCGAGGCCGCCATGCGAACCCTGCCACTGGGGCCTTCGGTGGAGCTCCCTATGGGGCCACGGTCCTCGTGAGGGGTGTGCCGAAATGGCCCGAGGCCGCCATGCGAACCCTGCCACTGGCGCCTTCGGTGGGGCTCCCCACAGGGCCACGATCCCCGTGAGGGGTGTGCCGAAATGGCCCGAGGCCGCCATGCGAACCCTGCCACTGGGGCCTTCGGTGGAGCTCCCCACAGGGCCACGATCCGCGTGAGGGGTGTGCCGAAATGGCCCGAGGTCGCCATGCGAACCCTGCCACTGGGGCCTTCGGTGGAGCTCCTCACAGGGCCACGATCCTCGTGGCTGTTGTGCCGAAGTGGCCCGAGGCCGCCATGCGAACCATGCCACTGGGGCCTTCGGTGGAGCTCCCTATGGGGCCACGATCCTCGTGAGGGGTGTGCCGAAATGGCCCGAGGCCGCCATGCGAACCCTGCCACTGGGGCCTTCGGTGGAGATCCCTATGCGGCCACGATCCTCGTGAGGGGTGTGCCGAAATGGCCCGAGGCCGCCATGCGAACCCTGCCACTGGGGCCTTCGGTGGAGCCCCCTATGGGGCCACGATCCCCGTGAGGGGTGTGCCGAAATGGCCCGAGGCCGCCATGCGAACCCTGCCTCTGGAACCTTCGATGGAGCTCCCTATGGGGCCACGGTCCTCGTGAGGGGTGCGCCGAAATGGCCCGAGGCCGCCATGCGAACCCTGCCACTGGGGCCTTCGGTGGACCCCATGGGGCCTCGATCCTCGTGGTGGGTGTGCCGAAATGGCCCGAGGCCGCCATGCGAACCCTTCCACTGGGGCCTTCGGTGGAGCTCCCTATGTGGCAACGACCCTTGTGAGGGGTGTGCCGAAATGGCCCGAGGCCGCCATGCGAAACCTGCCACTGGGGCCTTCGGTGGAGCTCCCTATGGGGCCACGATCCTCGTGGCGGGTGTGCCGAAATGGCCCGAGCGAACCCTGCCACTGGGGCCTTCGGTGGAGCTCCCTATGGGGCCACGATCCTCGTGAGGGTTGTGCCGACATGGCCCGAGGCCGCCATGCGAACCCCCTCCACTGGGGCCTTCGGTGGAGCTCCCTATGGGGCCACGGTCCTTGTGAGGGGTGTGCCGAAATGGCCCGAGGCCGCCATGCGAACCCTACTACTGGGGCCTTCGGTGGAGCTCCCTCTGGGGCCACGAAGCGTGTGAGGGGTGTGCCGAAATGGGTGGTGATGATGAGGGCGATGATGATGGTGGTGGTGACGTCGATGATGACGATGATGATGATGGCGATGATGACGATGATGATTGTGAGATGAGGATGGATGGGGTCAGCGGGAGGAGGAGGTGAACGCGGGGCGCTGTCTCTTCAAAACGAGGGCCCAACACCGCAGGATGATTGGGCAAAAAATGCCATTCCTCCTTCCTACACCCGCATCGACATCATCACAATCACATAGATTCGCCTTTTTGGCTTGGTTTTTTTTGGTTTCGCCACAGCGGCTCACCCGCTGAAGCGGTGCGCGTATCCGCTCTGACCCCGCCTAAGTGATATGAGTGCATACCTTTGCCAGTGGCCCAAGGCTGCGGTCTGATGTCAAGCCCGCGTTCGCGCGCCCCGCGCGCTCCCCCGCTCCTGCCGAGAGCCATGGCAGAGGCCGAGGCCGCGCGCGCCGCAGCTGAGATGAGGCGCGCCCCGCGTACTCCCCCGCTCCTGCCGAGAGCCATGACAGAGGCCGAGGCCGCGCGCGCCGAAGCCGAGACGGGGCCCGCCCCGTATACTTCCCCGAGCCCGCCGCCCCCGAGCCCGCCGAGAGCCATGGCAGAGGCCGAGGCCTCGCGCGCCGAAGCCGAGACGAGGCCCGAGCGCGGCGGCAACGACGACTACCTGGTCGAGATTTTCCAGCCGCCTGAGAAGCGGGTTAAGAAGGTGACCCAGACGTGGAAGTGCATCGAGGACGTCACGAACCCGTGGTTGAAGGCCGCCTTCCTCACCATGCATGGTTCAGGAGGGGTCCCCTCTCCAGATCTTGGCCAATGCGACCGCAGGTTGCCGAAGAAGGCCACGTTCAGAGTGACCCTCGAAGTGGAGACTGAGTGGGTCGACCCCCGCGCGGACGTGAACTGAGCGCTAGCTTCCGACGCCGTCTAGCTCGGCGCGGCAACAAAAAAACATCGTCAATTATCATCATCACCATCACCATCGCCATCGCCGTCATCATCATCATCATCATCATCATCATCATCATCATCATCATCATTATCATCATCATCATCATCATCGTGATCATCATGATCATCCGCGTGCGTCTCATCATCATTGACATCATCATCATCAACATCGTCATCGCTCTCACTCTCTTGATCCTCCCACTCCGCCTCCTATTCCTCCTCCCTCCTCCATTTCACAACCCATTCAAGGACGTGCCCGAGGGGCCGCGGCGGGTAGGGGCTGACGGAACTTATTTGGGAATTATTTTTTTTCAGAAAATATAACTTATTGGGAACATCTTTTTCCATAAGTAGTTGCCGCGATAAGTTCCCTAAGCCCACTTGTGTGCTCGAGTACTCGATTTGTTCAGCTATATCTGACACACGAGCGCCGACTGGTATCAGCGGGTCCCGGGTCCCGCGCTCGTCCCGGGTTCCGCGGGTCCCCGTGCTGGTCCCGGGTGGCGGGTGCCGCGCCGGTCTTGGCGTCCCGGTCCTGGATCCCGCGTCGGTGCCGGGTACAGAGTCCCGCGGGTCCCGCGCCGGTGTGAGTCCCGGGTCCAGGTCCCGGGTCCCGCGTTGGTCCCGGGTCTCGTGCCGGTCCCAGGTTCGGGTCCCGCGCTCGTCCCAGGTCCCGGGTCCGCGCTCGTCCCAGATCCCGGGTTCCGCGCCGGGGCTCGCGCCGGTTCCGGGTCCCGGGTCCTGCGCTCGTCCCGGGTCCCGGGTCCCACGGCGGTCGTCCTGGCCGGGTCCCGGGTTCCGCTCCGGTCCCGGGTCGCGGGTCCCGGGTCTCGCGCCGGTCGGGTCCCGGGACGATCATGGCTGCCGCGGCAGGTCCCGCGGGTCCCGGCGCCGGTCTCAGGTCGCGGGTCCCGGGTCCCGGGGCCGGAAAAACGTCAGCCCGCGTCAGCTCGCGTGAGCCCCCCCCCGCGCCGGTGCCGGGTCCTGGGGCTCGCGCCGGTTCCGGGTCCCGGGTCTTGCGCCCGTCCCGGGTCCCGGGTCTGGCGATCGTACCGGCCGGGTCCGGGGTTCCTCTCCGGTCCCGGGTCGCGAGTCCCGGGCTTGCGCCGGTCGGGTCCGGGGACGATCCCGGGTGCTGGGTGCCGGGTCCCGGGTCCCGTCGCCGGTCCCGGGTCTCGGGTCCCGCGCCGGTCCCGGGTCGCGGGTCCCGGGTCCCGGGGCCGGAAAAACGTCAGCTCGCGTCAGCTCGCGTCAGCCCGCCCCCCCCGTCGCCAGAGCGAAGCTTGAGCGAGCTCAAGCCCACGCTTTCAGGAACTCACACGCCGGATCGCCGGATTCGCGCTTAGCGCTTCGTTTCGCGCTTCCGACACGCTTCGCCTTGGCCCTCCCTCGTCGATCCTCGCGGGTTCGCGGTCCGCTCCGCGGGGCTGCTCTTGCGCGCTGAGCGGGCGTGTGGACAGCCTCGCCCTGCCTGCAACCTCCGTCTCTTCTCCCCAGGAGTGGACAACATGTGCGGAGATTCCGACGGAGGAGGAGGTTGAGGAGGAGGAGGAGGGAGGCGAGGAGGGGGAGGAGGAGGAGGATGGGGAGGAGGAGGGAGGAGGAGGAAGGAGTGGGAGGAGGAGGGGAGGAGGAGGAGGAGAGGAGGAGGAGGAGGAGGAGGAGGGAGGAGGAGGAGGAGGGAGGAGGAGGAGGAGGAGGAGGGAGGAGGAGGAGGAGGAGGAGGAGGAGGAGAGGAGGAGGAGGAGGAGGAGGAGGAG